ATTTATATTAAAAAAATTTAATATTTATTTATATTAGTTTTTTACTTTCTTTATCAATTTTTTTATAATATAAAAATCTCAAAAGTTATTATTTTTTTCAAACATCCACCATCCCTTTATAATTTGCTTTAAAGATACGAATTCTTAAATGTTAAATTGTTTTATTTCTTTTCCTTTATAATCATGTATTTCGAATAAATTTAAGCAAGTAATCTTAATAACCAATTACCCGAATTTAGGGTGTTTCTAATCATTAACTATTATAAAAAATGAATCGTTTTATTCTTTATTTATTTAAATATTTATTATAATATTATGTTAATTCTTAAAAGACATTAAGTCTTCAATAATTATTTTCTAATATTCTTTATTGAAATTCCAAAATTAAAACGCATTTTAAATTATCTAATTATTTATAGAATGTTGATCTTTATATTAGTACATGTTATAATATTAATCTTGTTAAATTGTATATGATTCATTAATTAAATTAGAGTTATGCAATGCATTTGTAGCCTTATCTGATAAATTAGAATCATATACTATATTTATATATAATATTTAAAAAATAATTTAATTAATTATAAAATATTAACGTTAATTTTCATATGAATTTTAAGAAATACATGCTTAATTAGCATATTAATTGTATTAAATGTGTTAATTATTTGGTATTTTAGTTTATTGTAATTAAGAATTTTATTATTAATATATATTTTGTTATTATTTATTATTTATTAAATTTGATTAAGATATGTTTTATGTCTTATTTAATATTTATTATTATTATGACGTTTATTGTAATTGTAATTATTATTATTACTATTATTATTATTATTATTATTATTATATTATTATTATTATATTTTAATTTTAATTAATTAAATTATTTTAATATAAAACATTTTTATTTTAAATAATTTATTCTTATTTATTAACTTTATTTATATTTTATTCATCAATGTTTTTAAATTCATCTTTTTAAATATATTATTATTATATATAAATATTTTTTTTTTTATTTTTATTACCTTTTATAGGTTATTTCTATTATTCAAACTATATTTAATTAGACGTTTATAATTAATTTTAGGAAACAAAATTGTCTTTATCTTAATAACCATTATTAAAATTATTTATTGTCTATACGAAATTTAAAACTACATTCTATTATTAAGGTGTATTTTATGATTATTGTTGTTATTATTAAATTAATTATTATTTTTCAATTTACTTAGTGTTTTTATTTTCCTCTTTTTTTATTTTTTTATTTCCTTTTGTATTTCCTGTTTTTTAAATATCAATATTGTCCTTTATTTATTAATCTGTATTATTTTTATTAATTTCATTTATTTTTTATGTTTCTTCTTTTTATAAAAAAAAATAAAAAATAAAGTTAAATTAAATATAATATACTTTAAAAAATAGATAAATTAGTCTATTAATTTATTTCGATATTTTAATCATTTTATTATTAAAATGGATTTTTTTATTTAGGTATATTTTAATTATTATTACCTTTTATTTATTAAATTTTATTATGGTTCAAAAAAGGATTATCTATATATTAAGATAACATGTTCCAGTTTTAAATATCTTATTATTTTTAATCAATTTCTTTATGAACAATTGGAAGTTATTAGTTTTAAATATCTTGAATTTAGTTTTGAATTACAACTTAATTATAATAAATTTCTTCTCTTTTAGAGTTGATAGTTTCTTAATAGTCATTTGTATTATTATTATCGATAATAACACTATTAATATTATTATTATTATTATTATTATTATTATTATTATTATTATTATTAATATTATTAATATTATTAATATTATTAATATTAATATATTATTTATTATTATATTCTTATATTATGTTTTATGTCAATTACCAAATTCCTACTGGACATTTTAAGAATTCTAATATTTATTATTAATTTTCATACCATGTTTATATTTATAAAGTAAATTTTATAGAAAATTATTATTTTAAATAATCTAATAATGGTTTATTATCAATAAGTTTTTATTCTCTATCTTTGTATATAGTTTAATATATTACATTCAAGTATTATTTTATTAGATTATTATACAGTTAATATATTTACTCTTTACTATATTGAAGCATTTATTATATTATATTTTGTAAATATATTTAAATGTTTACTTTTTCATTATCTTTAGATTTTTTAAAATAACATAAATCGTAGTATTAAATTAAAAATAGGCTTAAGTTCTCATTTATTTATTCAGGTTAAACTTACTTAGTTCGTGTATATATATTATATATTTGTTCAGGATTATATTAAAACATTTAATTATAAATTACTATTTTTCTATTTTTTTTTATTTATTTTAATTTAAGAAAAAAAAAAAAAATTGTATTCTTTAAAAATATATTAATTTTTATATTTTATTTTTTTAGAATTATAAATAATGTTTATATAAATGTATATACAATGTAAATTATTATATGTTAATTATATATTATTAAATTTATAAATATTTATATATATTATTTTTAAAATTATAAATTATATAATAAATTATTAATAATCAATTTAATTTTATATTATTAAAAAAAGACTATAATTATATATATATAGTAGTTATTTATATTTAATTTAAATTATTAATTTTTTTGTTTTTAATTTAATATATATTTATATGCTTTTTTTTTTTTTCTTCTTTTTAAAAAAAAATTATTATATTATACTAAATAATTAAACTATTATTAAAAAAAAAAAAATTAATTTTTTTTTTAAAAAAATAAAGAAAACTTTAAATTTATATATATATATAATATTAAATATTAATAGATTAAAATAACTTAAATTGAATTCATATTTCAATACTTTTCTACTAATTTATTATTAACCCATTTTCCTATAATTTATACTTATAAATTTTAATAGAATGTTCCTTTTCCTTATACTTATCCTTTTTCGAAAAAGCCAACAAGCTTTTCCCCATTTACCAAATATAAAGTACCGAACCCATCTTTCAATCCATTTTTAAATTATCCGTTAAAAGTATGCCAATAAATACTAATACCCAATGTAAAGTCTTCATAATCATATTAGTTTTCGCAAACAATTAATTTCTAAGTATTATATAAATACCCTTATCCATGAAAAACATCATTTTCCCATTCTCCTACATAAACTTCTTTTTTATTTTAATCGTATAATTTACCAAATCCATGTTTTTATCCATTTAAAATTTATCCTTCATAAGTATATCCGTTTTAAAATTTAATAATTTTATGAGATGGAATATCAAATATTTTTCGATTTGAATTTTATTGTAGATTTTATGTCCTTATTAATTATGAATTTAAATTTTAGGTATTTTAAAAATTTAATTATACATTACTAACTTAAATTTTAAGATTATCTATTTCCTAAGTATATTGTTATTATTAATTTGGTTTATTTTATATATTTTCATTATATTTGCTTTATACTTTTATTTACTATAAATGTTATAATTATTATTATTATTATTATTATTATTATTATTATTATTATTATTATTATTATTATTATTATTATTATGATTATTATGATTATTATGATTATTATTATAATTATGATTATTATTATTATTATGATTATTGTATCTATTGTATTTAATCTATTTAAATATTTGGTTATTATTCATTTTTTTACCCTTAGAAACTCGGTTATTTTAAACTTGGTTTTTTTTGAGAAATATTAGTATTTTTTCTATCTTAATACTATTCATTTAATTTTTTATATTTATTAGCTGAAAAGTATTTTTTATGCGAATTTTGTCTAGATTTTTATTCTAAATTTTTATCAATTTTATCTATATCTGTATATGTATTTCCCTAGATATTAAAATATACTTTTTTCATAGGCGAAAGGCTTTGTTTTTAATTTATTTCTGAATTCGACCTTTAATTTTCTTAATTTTTCGATTATAGATAGTTTTATCTTTTTATGTCTCCTTTATTCTCAACATTTTAATTTTTTAAAATATCATTATCTTATTTACTAGGATATTCCAATTCATCATACTCATCTAGGTCATTTAAAGATTATACATTTGTATTATAAAATTACATGTAATTGTCATATTATTTCTTTTTATTTTTTTATATTATAAAACATTATTCATATTTAAAAAATAAAAAGATTATACATCATTTTAATTTTTATTATTTTAATTTTATTTAAAATTATGATTTTGTTAAAAATTCGAATTTTGTTGATAATTTTAATAATGAGGAATATTTTATTATTAAATACTTTTTGGTTAAACTGTATTTTAATGTTAGAATTTATCATTAATTGAGTTAAAAATTTTACTTATTTTTGTCTTTTAACCCGTAACATATTAATTCGGTTAATTTTAGGACAAAAGATTTTTGTTTTAATGTTTTAAATTAGTATTATTATTTGTCTTTTATGTATATTATAAGTTTGTTAATTGATTTTAACTATTAAGAAAGCTATTCATTTTTTTTATTTTATAATATTTATACTTTATATTATTATGATTTTTAACTATATATTTAATTAAGCTTATTTTCATTTACTTTATTATAATTTTTTATATATTTCTTATTGAAAATAGTGATGGTAATTAATTTTTATTAAAAAATTAAATAAAAAATAAATAAATATAATTAATTTTAAATATAGTAAAATAAAATATAAAATATAGATAAAATACTGAAAAAGAAAAATAATTAAAAATTATATAATTATAATATACGTAAATATTTTTTTTTTGTATACATATATATATATATATATTAATTTTTATATATATATTAATAAAACTATTTAATATTTTTTAATATGTTTATTTAATATTTATATATAATAAAAAATATTATTCTCATCAAAATAAATCAAAATTTTAAAATAAAAAACTACTTTAATTCATATAAATAAAATAGAAAAATAAAAAATGATTTAAAAATATTAATATATATAATCATATTTAATTCTGAATAATTAAAAAATATCAATACAATTTAAATTAAAAAATATATAAAAACATAAATAAAATAAAATTTATAATGACTAATACTAAAGTAGTCCCACAATAAAGACTCTCGCCTGAAGAAGAAGAATAATTAAAGAACGGCCCTATCAACTAGCGAGAATGCCGAGACTTATTATTTTGTTTACTATTTATTGCTGCCTGTATATCATGTATTTATTTTTTCTCGTTTGGTATTGCAAACGGCTAACCAAAAAGATTAATTGCAGTATATGATAAATCTGGTAAATAAACTAATAATAATAATAATTATAATAATAATAAACATATATAAAGGTGCCGCTTGTGGATTAGATAATCAATCAGACAGGAAATATATATATTTCTATATCCCCTATTATGACTCTTTGAATAAAAAAAACTACTTCACATACAATACCTGTGTAAAAGAATGTCCTAATAATACATAAAAAGTAATTGATTGCAATACATCTGCAATGCCAACTGGAAGTTGTGCAGAAAACATTTGCAATTTAAATATTAATTAAAATACAGTATAAAATATATTAAATTTAAACTTAGAATAAATGGTTTGCATATACGAAACTAAAAAATGTAAATAAAAAATAAATAAACTGTATAATCTTTTTAAAAATAAAAAAATAAATAAAAGTACTTAATAGAATATGCATACCCTCAAATGAAATATTTGATTTAATGGGAAAATAAACAACAGAAATGTTCAAGGAAATAGTATCTTTAGATACTTTAACTTAATGGATAAATGATATATAATCTGCAAGTCATGTAATAGCAGCTTCTTTAGGTATTGCATTCGGTTTAGGACTTTCATATATGCTTTTTTTGAGATGTTTTGCTGGATTTCTTGTCTGGATTTGTATTTTAATTTATTTAGCAGCTATCTGTGGTTTAGGATATTATTCATATAAAAAATATGATAAAATAAAAACGTATCTATATTTATATTTATATATATATTTACAAAAAAAAATTATTATAAAGTTTTTTAAAAACGAATTCAGAATATGGTAATTATACGGTATCAAATTAAGAATCTTTTTAAGCTTTAGCATTGATAATGTGGGTATGGGCTGGAATTACAGTATTTTTAATATACTGTTATAGAAAAAAAATCTCATAAGCAATAGCTATTATAAAAACAACGACATAGTTTATAGTAGAAGTTTGGAGTGTTTAATTAGTTCCAACTGTTTTTACAATTATAGCTGGATGTTGGTGGGTATTTTGGCTTTTTGGGTATGTTTATTTATATTCAATTGATAAAGATGGACAAATAAAAAAATACGGGAATACAATCTTTGGATAACCTATTCATTCATAGTTTATTTCAAGATTATGTTGGTCATATTTCTTTATAGGATTGTGGATTAATGCCTTTATATAAGCTCTTTGTTTATTTATTTTAGCAGTAAAATAATAAATATATAATTATATATATATATATATATATATTTTTAGAGTTCTGCTTGCATTTGGTATTTTTCACATGGAGAAGAAGGTTAAAAACATTCGCCTGTAAGTACTTCTATATATAGAGCCTTTAGATATCATTTAGGTTCCTTAGCTTTCGGTTCATTTATTTTGGCTATTGTTTAATTTATTAGGGTAATTTTGGCCTATATAGAATAATAAATGAAAAATTTAGGTTAAAAATAAAATAAATTAGTTGTCTGTTTAGTAAAGTGTTTATAGTGCTATATGGGATGCTTTGAAAGATTTATTAAATTTTTAAATGAATAAGCATATATACAAGTAATTTATATACTTATAAAATATTATAAATATATATATATAATTATATATATATATATATATATATATATATTAAAAAGATCGCATTAGTTGGAAAAAGCTTTTGTTCAGCAGCTAAAGATGGTCTTTCTTTAGTATGGTGTAATGCAGATAGATTCTCTTTAGTGTATGGAATAGGTGGTGCCTTTATTTTTGTTGGAAAAATTTTTATTTCAGGCGTTTCTGTAATTATATGTCATTATATTTTAGATAATGTATAACCTTATAGTGAAGAACTTAATTCATAAGTTTTGCCTTTACTTGTAAAATAATTTATATATATATATAGTTTTATTTATTTTAAATTAAAAAAAGATTTATTTTTTTTATCAGTTATGCTATTAGTATAATTTTCTTGTCGGTTTACGGTATGGGTATGTAAGCAATCTTAATATGCTTCCTTTGGGATGAAAAAGTTTTCTAAAAATAAGCTCCACCCCATGCTCCTCCTCTATTATAAGAATTCTTTGACAATCAAATATAAAAATGATATATACTTATATAATTCTTTGTTTTAATAAAAATGATTATATGTATTTATTTTTATAAATAAAGATTTTATATTTTAATATAGCATTATATAATTTGAAATAGTCGATAAATTATTTATTATTTTAAATTTAATTAAATTTGAGATTTTTTTAAATGTATTATAATCAGGTAATTAAAAATAAAATAAAATAAAATTTGAAGAATATTTTCTATAAAAAAACATATTAATATAATTCAAAATATATATATATATATATATATATATATATATATATTATTTTATATTTTTATAAATATTATATAAGAATAAAATTAAATTAAAAAATATTTTATATTAAATAATTTAGTTTTAATTATATAATTTTAATAAATATAATAGATTTTTAATTTAAAATTATATTAATTTATATTAATTTATTATTATATAATAATTATTAAAAATGTTGGATTATTATAAAATATTAACATTAAACTCCCTAAATATATATATTTTTATATTAAAGTTATTTATTTTTATCATTATAAATATAAATTGCTTAAGTTTTATAAATATTAATGAATAAATTTATAAAAATTTTTGAAAAAAATTAATAATAAATAACTATAAAAAAAAATTATAAATAATGGCAAAAAGATTAGCTGAATAAAATATATCATAAGAATTATCTAATAGCAACAATGGCAAATAAATTCTTAAAAAATGTAAATATAAAAAATATATAATAAAAAAATGAATAATATATATATAAATATATATATATATATATAATATATATATATATATATATATATATATATATATATATATATATATATCTATTATATTTTTTTAAAAGTAAAGCCTAATGACTAGATTGTTTTATAATTTAATTTCGATAAAATTGCCAAGGAAAAATGGATATCCTCATCAATATCCTTACACGAATCAATTGAGTTATTAAAATCTGGCCAACTTTATAGAAGTTAAGAAATGTTACATCATTTTCTTTCCTAAAGTGCAAATATGAACAATGAAGATTATTAAGCATTATAATAATTATCATAACATGTTTAATTTAAAAACATATAATCTGATGATTAAAAATAACTTGTAATATTATATTGTCAAGTCAATAATGATTATAATGAATAAGGAATATATATTTCGAGTAATGTTAAAGTAACTAACTCGACTTAGGATAATAAATTAATTTACGAATAAAGTTTGGCATATAGTAATTAATATGAAATATAAGATATATAATTTGGAGATACTAATGATTTTGAAGGAATTTGAAATAGTCTAAAGTATTTGATATAAATAATTATTATATTATATGTTTTTAATTATTAATATATATTAAATTTTTCTTTTATTTTTTTTTAAAAATAAAATATAAAAAAATAATTTGAAAGTAGAATAATTAAAAATATAAAATTATATATATATATATTTTTTTTTAATTATTAATTTTTATGTAAATTATATTTATTTTATAATTTTAACAAAATTTAAATTTATTTAATTTTATAAAAATTAAAAAAAAAAAAAAAAGAAAAACAATCATTTTATTAAATAAGAAATAAAAATAATATTCAAATAATTTATTTATTAGGTTATAAAAAGACATTAAAATCTTCAAAACATAAATTATTACATTCATCAACATTTAAGTTTCTACACACAAATAAATTAAAATCCTTCAAAAGTATTTTTTTTTCATTTTAATTAACTTTTCCAATATTAATAGTTTATTAAAGTGTCAATAGTTAATTTTCATAATTAAAATTATGGTCTTATTTGGTATATAATTTAACTAAAAAATTATTTCTAATTTTATTTAAACAAGCTTCTCCTTAAAAAAGTCTCATTTTTTAAAAATTATCATTAATTATAATATCGAAATTAATTTTCTTTAAAATTTATTCTTTTCTAATAAAATTCTAAATATATAAAATTAATTTTTCTTATTTTTCATTAAAGTATTTAATTAAATTTCTTTCATTAAAATAAAGTACTTTTTTAATAAGTGATAAGCTTTATCCTATATTTCTTGTATATTTTAATATTTCTATTTGTCTAAAACTATATAATAATCTTTTATTTTCCCTTGAAAATGATTTAAAATTAATTGATTTTTATCTTTATTAAAAAAGACTGAAATTTAAGTTTTTTATCTAAAAAATATTTAAAAAGGAAAATATTAAATTCTTTTAAAAAAAATTCCTGGTTTTTTTAATTAAAAAAAATCATTTTTTCCAATTTGTAAAATTTTTCGTTTATTAATTCTTCAAATTAAGGTTAAGAAATTTTATAAAATTTCGGCTTTTTTTTATTCAAAATTTTTACATAAGAAAAGTTTAACTTTTTCATTATTAAAATTTAGCAATATATAGACGAAAAAGGGACTTTTAAGAAAATGCTTTTTTAATAAAAATATATATTTTTCTATATTTGATAAAGCTTTTCAATTTATAATTATGTATAGGCCTTTATTTGTAGTTTATTTTCATTTATTTTTAATATAATAACTATAATATCTTCTTTTTTGCAATTATAAAGTATTTTTTCGCCTAAAATTTAAAATTTTTCAAAGAATTTAGGTCTAATTTCCAAAATTTCTATATTTTATTAATTAAAACTTAAAAAAATTAAACTTCAATATTTTTATTTTAAAAGGAAATTTTTCTTTCTTCTATTAAAATACTATTAAATACAAAAGAATTCTAGTAAGGTATATTTTTATCCAATATATATTATTGTTTATTATTTTTTTATAGATATTAATTAAAAATTTATTCAAGATCATTATTATATATTATCTAGTCATTTATTTATAATATAGAATTTTTAAATTTTTAAAACTTTTATTATTTTTTTATAATTAACTTATTAATATTTCTGCATAATAAAAAATAATATTTCTGACATACATAAATATTGATGTATATATTTTCCTAATATACTAAATTATTATCAAATTTAAATTTAATATAAGGTATATAAATATTTATTTCGAACTAATAATAAATTAATATATATAAATATATTTATAAATATATTTATATATTTTTATATATAAATATTTATATTTTTTTATTTTTATATATTTATTTATATATCATTTATATAATATTATTTTATTTATATTACATATTTTTCAATGCTATTTATTGTTTCTTCAATTATCTATTTTTGTATTTGTAATTAACAATATGTTACAGATTGCTTATTTTTTTTTCTTATTTTTTCTATACTAATATAGTAATTATCTTCTTTTTGTATTATAAATAATGCTGAAATAGTTAAATTTAAGTTATTTTTATAAAGTTTTGTATATAAAATAAATATTTTTTTTAATTTTTTATCTTTAATCATTTAATTAATTATTTTTTTTCTTTAAAATAAATTTTATATAGATAATAAACTAAGTATATTTATAAATTAGTATTTTAATTATAGTTAATTATCAACATTTATTAAAAACTAATTTAAAAAAAATATGAAAATTAATATTTAAAAATATAATATATATATATATATATATATATATATATATATATATATATATATATATATATGTAAATTTACTTTTTCAGAAAAATTTTAATTATTATTATTTTTAAAATGATATAATAAATTTTTATATTAATAATAATGTTTAATAATACTTTAAAAGAATATTTTTATTTTTGTATTTTCTTTTTATTAAACATAATTATACTATATAAAGATTATTAGGAATATCTTTAAATAAGCAAAAGAAATATTAATTTCCTTCAAATTAAATTATTTTAAAAAAATTCATTTAAATTATATTTTTCTTAAGTTTTTTTTAAAAAAAATAACTGAAAATAACTAATTAAATTTTTCTTAAATTTATTCTTATATATTACTTATATTTAATTCAAATTATAAATTATTATATTATAACTATTTATTATTTAAATATATTTATAATCTATTTTCATATATATGTTTTTATTTACAATATCATTTAATTTATGTTCTTTTTATTTAATAATTTTAACTAATAAAGATTAAACTACTATTTTTTAATATATTTATAAATTTTTTTCAATCACATATTAATAAATTTTCTATTTAAATAATTTTCTCTATAAATGTATAACAAATTTTTCAACTTTATTATATTATGTTTAAATTAATATTTAAGTTTTTATAGTTTTAAAGTAATTTCTATAAGCATTTTATATTAATTAAATAGATAACTCATAAGTTTTATTTGAAAAAGTAATTTTTTATTCTTCAATATGGATATTAATCTTATATATATGTATAAATATATTTATAATCTCTATATATAAAATTATATAAATATATTAAATATACATAATCATTCATTAAAAAATCTTAATTATTTTTATTATTTAGAATATACTTTCTAAGAAATGCCGGTAATTAAAATTTTATGAAAAATCTTTTAAATTTATTTAAATTTTCAATTGAAATTACTTAATTTTTGAAAAAAACAAATATTTGACACCTTAAATATTTTCAAAAATTACAATTTTTTTAATTTTTTTAATTTTCATTTTTTTTCTAAATAATTTCTAAATTAAGAAAACTGATTTTTCCTAAATTTTTAAATAGAATTTATTTTCATTTTTTTTTTTAAATATATTCTCAATAAAAAACATTTGATTTTTTTGTATTTTTTCTAATATAAACTTATTTATTTCCACTTTTTATATTATTTATTCTTTATAAACTTATTTTTTAGACTTTAATTATATAATTTAAATAAAAAATTCTTATTTTTTTTATTTTTTTCATCTTTTTTCTTATATACATATACAAAAATTTCCAAAAAAGTAATCTTTTTATATAAAATGACTTCGATTTTTTCCAGAATTTTATTTTAAACTTTTTTTCTCATTAAAAATCTTTTTGTTTTTTTTATATTTTTATAGCATTAATTTCACTTTTTTATTGAATTAAAAATTCTATACTTTTTTAATATATTTAATCCAAATTTACTTGTAAAAAAACATTAAAATTAATACAAAAATCACATAAATTTTATAAATAATCATTA